GTCTAAATGTGAAATAAAAGGTGGACTTTACCTCCATAATGCTGCGTATAAGAATACTCAGGATGTAGGTCCTCAGCAGAGCTCCTTTCAGTCGAACTCGGCCTGCAGACGAACCCTCAGGTTTCTCCTTTCCTTCATCCTTGTGTCCTCTTCTGTCCGGTTTCCCTCCTCCTCCTCCTCCTCCTCCTCCTGCTTCCCCTCCTCCCCCCGGGTCCTCCTCCCTCCCTCCCCCCTCTCCCTCGTCCTCCTCCCGGCTCCTCCTCTTCTCCTCCTGCCGGACCGTGTGCATGGCGTGGCCCATATAGATCAGGCTGGGGGTGGAGACGAACACTATCTGCAGCACCTGGGAACAAAAAAAGTCACTTATCCACCTGGACCCATTTAAAGGAGACATGTTATACCCTATTTCAACAAGTTAAGCTAGTTCCCCGATAACAGCCAGTTGAAGACTACCAAAATGTATTTTTGACTTATTGCACGCTAATTTGATCAAAATAATATTTGGATTTTTTTATCATATGTTGTTGAGGGGCCAAACAAAGACTTCAGACTAAAAAAAATCCAATATTCTTCCTAATTTTCTTGGATCAGGCTTTAAAGGGTTAAAGCTGTTTTTGGGGGCTTTTAAAGCTATTTTTGTGCTTTTAAAGCAGTTTTTTGGCTTTTAAAACTGTTCTTTGGGGGCTTTTAAAGCAATTTTTTGTGCTTTTTAAACTGTTTTTTGTGCGGCTTTTAAAGCTTTTTTGGGGGTCTTAACCCTATAATGCCAAATGTGTCATATTAGATACGGTTTCTGAAAAAAATGAAATATATTTCTGACTTATTGCATGCTAATTTGATCTAAATAATTTCAGTTTTTTTTTTCTTCATATGTTGTTGAGGGGCCAAAGAAAGACTTCAGACTAAAAAAAAATCCAATATTCTTCCGATTTTTTCTTGGATCAGGCTTTAAAGGGTTAAAGCTGTTTTGGGGGGCTTTTAAAGCTGTTTTTGTGCTTTTAAAACTGTTTTAACCCTATAATGCCAAATGTGTCATATTTGATCCGGTTTCTGAAGTCTTTTGGATCTGAGACTTTTTGCATCATTCAGTGGTAAAAGCTTTGCTCAAACCCCTGTTGTACACATTCAGATATACCTGATAACAGCCAGTAGAAGACTACACCAACATATATTTTTGACTTACTGCACACTAATTTGATCAAAATAATTTCTGTTTTTTTTCTTCACATGTTGTTGAGGGGCCAAAGAAAGACTTCAGACTAAAAAAATCCAATATTCTTCCTATTTTGCTTGGATCAGGCTTTAATCGTACCCTTCCAAATGTTATTAAAGCTGTTGTAACACGGATCACATTCAGTCTTCACTTGGTTTCAACTATTACGCCGATTTTTCACCTTTTCAAGCATCTGCTGAGAAAACTGTCAAATTCTTTTTACGGGACCAGGTTAAGCCCTCTGTGTCAATAACTTACCAATGGCAATACATATTTGATCTGTATTAGGTATAAAGCTTAATCAATTCCAGTTTCTTGGCACAGATTCTAACATAATAACAAAAAGATTAAGAAACACAAATGTAAATCCAATCCTATTTATTAAAGGGTAATGGTGTGTGTTACCCAGTATCGTATGTGTGCTATGGGGAAGGCCCGGTCGTAGCACACGTTTTCACAGCCCGGCTGCTCCGTGTCACAGTCAAAATCTTCCTGCTCATCGCCCCAAGATGACTCCGCCGCCGTGCCCAGCACCAGGATACGGAAGATGAACAGGATAGTGAGCCACACCTGAAGAATAAAGGATAAAGAACAGTTAGAGCCAATAAAAATCTCCTAAAAGCTTTTAGGCTTTTATCCAAAGCGACTTACAAATCAGACCCAATATTACATTTATCATCACTATGACAATAAGCTATACAGAGGAGAAACACTG